GACCGCTACGAGTTCTCCTCGCACATCGCCCGCGGCGAGCACCGCCTCGCGCTCAAGTAACGCGGCCATTCACCAACAACAACCATTCCCGGAGAAATTCCCTGCTCCTTCATTCCAACTACCCTAAAGAAACCCCTCCAATATTTTTCTATGCCAGTTTTAAAGCGATCAAGGTCGGAGGGACGGTTTTGTTGGGTTTTTGGTTCGTTTTTTGGGCTTTTTCACAAGCAATTCCTTGTTCTGTAGCATCTGTGCCCAGCTGCACTGCTGAGTGGTACTGTAAAAAAAATATATCAGAAGTAGACAGAAATTTTATACAAACTTTATTTTTGTGAAAGTTAAGAGCAATTTAAGGTGTGTGGATTTTTTTTATATACTTTTAACATGTATTTGTTTTTATAGCGTTTGCTTTAACTCAGCACAGAGGTGTTTTCTTCTCTTCTGCCATTTTGTCTGGCTGGGCAGATGTGTAGTCCGGAGTGCATAAGAAGAGTGTTTTCTCGCTGTTTCGCTTCCTATGGTCTTAAAATGGCTAATTACTGAAACACAGAGAACGTGTATTTGGGGAGGGAGTGTTAATTCATTTTAATGGGTTTCCCCCGAGCTGGAGGAGCATGTGGTCCCACCACACTTTCATTTTTCTTACCTCTCTGTTCACTTTCTTAAAAATCGCTCCCCACGTACCCTTTAGTAGCAGCAAAAATAAGAAATAACGGCTCATTTTGGGGCTGGGATTTCTAAATTGCGCGCAAACGGAATGCCCGGTGAGCTCATTGCCCGGCGCTCTGCGGAAAATCCTGCCTTTTGGTGGGAAGCGCCTCTTCCCAGCGGGTGCAGGGTCGGAGAACGGGTCTGTGCTGTCCCTCGTGTCCCCTCCTCGCTCCGGCCGCGTCCCGAGCCCCATCCCATCCGTTCGCAGCTCGGAAGCGGCTCCACGGATCCGAAGGCTCCGTGCGGAGCGGGAGGCGCCGTGAGCAGCTCCGCGTCCGTGTGTGGGAGCCCTCGGCTCGCTCTGGTTTTACCCGGGGATACCCCTTGCTGTGAAATGTGCTGTTCTGCAAAATGAGCATTTACGATTACTTTGAAGCTGGTTTTAAAAATAGTTCTTTTATTCTAATCATTGTGCTGCCGCTGTATTATTAGTCACTGTGCTGAAGATACGAATTTGATAACCGTTTTGCTGAGTGTATGTTTGTTCTTTGTGAGTTTTTTTACGGTGTGGCGTTAGACGCATCCCGACGGACCTTCCCCCCGCTCCATGTTGGGATATGGAGGTTCCTCTCGTGCCTTTTCCCTGCTCTTGGGGGCCCCGGGGTCTCAATGAAGCACCAAGGGCATCGGGACCCCCGCTCTGCCCCACATCTGGGCTCGCACCTTTACCCTAGGCCAGACACTTCCCCTCCATCGTTTTTAGGGTGGAAAAAAGGAGACTGATTTCATTATTTTTCTGATAGGAATATGTCTGAAGAAGGATAAATTCATTTGCAAAAGGGGTTTGCTATCTAAAGTACCATAGAAGTGCGAAATTCTGCTTGTCTCTGGGGTGCGAATAAGGAAAAACTACCTTGCAAACCTGTTCCTGCTGTGTGCATACGTGTAAAATAGTGGTAAGATCCTTTCCAGTGGCCAGTTTCTCATGCTAAGGCCCATTCCTGCCGGGTGGATGTTTGTTGTTCTCCCTAATAAACACCCATTGCCACAACACGACACAAAGTCCTTCCGAGTGAGTCGGGAGGCCGCAGTGTCACCCGATCATCCGGGGACGGCCCCGGGCGGCAGCCTGGACCGGAGCGCGTGGAGCCGCTTCCCGCTTTCCCGGTGTGAACGGTTAAATAATCCCCTGCGCCGGAGCGGGATGCGTTTTTGTGGGAAGAGCCACCGAGTTGTGTTAAATGGTGAAAACCCCCCTGGGCTTGCAGAGGAACGAGCAAGACCGTGGATTTTAAAAGGTGCCTTTGTCGTTTGCACAGGAGGCTCCTCGGCGCGCCCGGCCGCATCCTTGGAATCGCCCGGCTCCTGCTCTCCCGCTTCCTGTCGTTCCCGGAGAAGGTGAGCGCGAGGGCCGGGCTCCGCGGGGGGCAGAGCTGCCATTCCCTGGAGGCTCCGCTTTCCCAGCGCGGCCTGGGCTTTTCCAGCGGGTCCGTGCCCGGCCCGAGGGCTTTGCCGAGCGCCTGGGCCGGACAAGGGCGATAGCCCCGTTGCCGATGGTCGGCCGCGGTTGTTCTGCTCCAGTTTGGTTGATTTTTTGGTATGGAACAAATCCCTGGTTGGATCTTTCTCCTAAATGCGCTCTAGCCACCTCTGTCTTGTCCCACTTTATTTATTGGCAAGTTGGATCCAGGCAGTGAGCAGCACAGGTGACACTCAGGAGATGGGCTTAGCATTAAGCAACAAGTATCCTGTGCTTAAAAACCTTAGGAAATTCCAATTTCCTCTGACATTTCTTGGAAATTTTTACTGAAATTCTCTGAGTTTCAGTAAATCCTCTCCTGTGCGTCGCTGCACGGCCCAGGCTGCAACCACGGAGGTGAAGGGCAAGTTCTGCTTCTTATTAATTGCTTATTATTAATATCCCCTTGTTGTTCATAAAGGGAGCTCGGCGCCGTCCCCGCGCCCCGGCTTTGGGAGCTGCTCGGTGGCATCCGCGGCCCGGAGCGCGGCAAGTTGGGCGCTGCCGTGACCCGG